GTGCCCACGTTGGTGACCCCTGATTTAGAGTGTCTTTCACTGGAACTAAGGAGCCACTAAAAAACAACTTCACACTGTCATTTTACCCCCAGAAAACGTTACAGCTTCCACAAAGACGGTTTGCAAGGATAGCTCACCTGGCAACCAGCAATCCCAGTGTTCTCATCAAACTGCTAGACAGAGAAGCATTAGTATTTTCAAGTCTCCACTGCTCTAGTGTTTATTAATGGCAAGCTTTGCACCACTACAACCATCATTTTGCTTTGCTGTTGGTGGTGTGGGCTACGGATGCAGCTAGCTAACCATGGAAATCCTTCCCATGAAACTGTCTACTTACTTCAGTCATAATGAGAACCACAGGTTGTTTGGAGGTCTGTAGCAATTGAAAGCTGATAACCTCTGCAGATCCAATCCAAGGCCCCCCGATCTGTGACTTTGCAGGGCATACATGTGTGGTTCAGTTGCTGTTGGTCCAATGTATTACTGTTGTTAGGAATTGCTTCCATTTAATTAATGATAAAGTTATGATAAATTATTATTATACTAAAGATAACTGCTTATATATGGGACATCCTGTCATAGTGCATCATGGAATTTACAGAGCTCCTGCGAGAGATTTATTCCTGCCAAAATGTTTGTGCAAGTTAACTACATGCCTAGTTATTGTTATACTTCCTGGAAGTGGTTATAGAGCTGCTTATGTTGTATGATTTCAAAGGTAAATGGGATTTCTCAGTGTTTCTGGAAATGTACAATTTAAATCTAAATGCAATGAAAAAACCTAAGGGTTTGAGGTTTGGTTATTTTGTGTATTTTTAGATATCGGAAAGCATCCAAGCTTTTTTGTTTGTTTTTGAGAGTTTTTGTATTCTAAATTAAGCTCATTTATTCCATATCAGCTACAAAAATATGAGAGGCCATGATGTTTCTATTCCATCTACTTAAAAAAAGACTATGCTTATATAATGTACCTATATATGTTTGTTTTTTTTTCTTTAAGAAAGTGAAATCACTTTAATAGCATAATGGAATGTAACTGTCTTTTTACCAGAAGATCAAAAGATAAAAGCAACATTTTCATCTGAATTTGCTTTAACATCTGAATCATGTGTCTTAATGCCTGCTTTTGAACAGTTTTGTTAACTGTATTGTGTTATTACAATGTAGTCAAATATAAATTATGTACATGCTTTAAAAGCAAATACCTGAAGCAATAAATAATGCTCATATGAACGACAATTTGTTCATTCTACATATGTTAACATATAACCTGTATTTTAGCTTTTCATCCATTTGGCAGTTGACTATTTTGAAAAGTGCATTGCTTTAATTTATTCCATCTATTATTTTCAATAGTGTTGAAATGATGCAAATATCGAGGCCTGTGCATATGTAAAAAAAAAACATACTCTTTGTTCGATACCTGATTCTAATAAAGCTTCACTTGCACCATCTTTCTGCTTTTAGTGGTCAGTTATAATAACCTACTTAAATATGATTATGCAGTTCACATCATGTTTAAATGAAGGCTGCTAAACAATATTTCATTATTTTCTGATCATTCCATGCTATAAGAAAGTGTTATATACAATGCACACATTAAAACCAGATATACGGTATAAACTTTATAAGACCTAGTAGTCACCATAAATAAAACCCACTAACAAATCAAAAACATTCTGCATTTTTGTCGCCAAAATGTGACACCTTGGTGTATAGAAGATAGATTCAACCCCAGCAAACTGAAAAGTGTTTGCAAAGCTGATACCAGGTGCAAATCTATTTGTGTTTGTTAAATGAGGTGAACAGCTGCCGCAATTTTTTTTGTACCCATTTTTTTCTTCATGTGAATGCCGTCCATATGCTTAAAGAGGTCATAGAATGATTATATAGGGTATTTGGTGCTGGTACTTAAGGTGTCTGAATAGGGTGTGTAACATTAGTTGGGCTGAAAATGGCATATTTGCTGTTCTTTGAGCCCTAATGGAAGCCTGGTTAAAAGCCCTAGAATTAAACGACAGGTTTTCTTCCTTTTATGGTATGCTCATGAATATTTAGATGAGCTGTGCGCTGATTGGTTGGTTTACAACGAGCAAAGCTGCTGAGCAAAGACGCATCATAGCAACAAGCACTCACTCACTGAAACATCAAGCATATCAAGATTGTTGATATGCTAGGGTGACCAGACGTCCTCTTTTTCCTGGACATGTCCTACTTTTCATACTGTACCTAAAAAAATGTCCGGGGGGAATTTCGATTTTGGTCGACTACAGTGAAGCACGTAGTCAAAACACACCAGGCATTCGAACTAAGCCGTCAGCTCTGGGGCTGGTCCTGGAGCCCCGGGGCAGGGAGGCAGCGGGGGACAGAGCGCTCAAACCCGACCCGGTGATGGTAGCCTGGATACAGGCTTCCCCCTGCCTTCCTTACCCAGCCCCCCTCCTCCGGCTGAGGACGGGCGGCTCATGGCTCTCTGCTGAGGTTCGGTCCAGTCAGCGGCCCAGCAGACGACACTCCCCCCATCCCCACCCCCTCCCTTGGGCCAGTGAACCAGTGGGCTGGTCTGTATGTAAATTTGGTGGCGTAACAAAAGTACAGGCCAGAACCAAATAAGGCAACATCTCCAAGTTTACGTCAACTATGTGCTTCGTTTGGATTCGCCCATTTTATGGTGGAAGTTTAGAATGTGAGATTTGCAGAGAAGGGAGGCATTGATTGGGTTTGAACTTCTCTGTACATCCATTTCACCCACTGAACCATCATTATACATCTATGGCAATGTAAACTCGGTTTTGTATTCTATGACCCCTTTAAGATCAAACCGTGCAAATTTATGTTTTTGAATTTAAAATGCAGTTGCACCCATAAAGCTAAGACCTGAAAAAAAATTGCAAGTGCAGTTTTAGTACCTTTATTTAGCCCCTTTGCAAGTCAACTGCAAACTTGCATGCATTGATTTCTGAAGTTTTGACAGGGGCGGATCTAGGCGATTTTCTTGGCCAGTCTTTGGCCACCCCTAACCAGGTTATTCCGTTTTAATGTTGACATGATTCACCACCTGTGGAACAAGCAGTTCCCCTCTAAACCGCACACACCCATGTAAAAATATTCCATTTGTTTGTTTCTTGTACTTTTAAAAGTTATGGTTTACAACAGATAAACACCAAACTCAATGTCTTAGAAAATTACAATATTAAGAGACATTTTTTTTAGGTATATCCAATGTCAAATAAATCACGCAATACAATATGATGGCTAACAAAATCATGATAAAGATTACTGACTTAATAAACATTTACATAATTACCGCCCCAATAATTCCATATAAGGCTGTGACACCCCAAGCTTCTTCAGACACAGAAATGGCTTCGAAGATGAAGAAGAGAGACTATAAGAGTTCAAAGGTCAAAATTATGCTGCCTGAGAGCTGAGCAGAAGAATTAAGAAACAAACTGTGGGAAATAGATTACAAGAGCTGGAAATGGCCTGGCTGAACTGTTACAGAGGTAAATATAAAAAATAATTTGATATTAAAACAATCAACAAAAACAACAAATGAAACCAGCATCCATCGGATACCAGCATGCCAGCTGCAGTTGTACTGACCAATAGTTTTCTTATCAGTGAATAAAAATGTAGT